ATTAGTAATTTGGTTCGTACAATACCAGAATGTTGCTCATGAAAAACTTTTAAAATTTCAAGTCTTAACGACTGAGGAATTACAACCCTATTCCCTAACATAATACAATTCTGTTCAACTGATAATTCATTCCGGCGTTTAAAAAAAGTTTTTAAGTTATCATCCTCAACACTAATAGGCCAACCTGACAAAATAAGGTCCTTGACTTTCAGAAGTAATGAATCTTTATTAGTAGCTTTTTTAATATCATCTGCATTCAATGGTATTTCCTTAATTAAGCTAAACGAAAAAATATAGTCATCTACTTCAGTTTGTTGTTTTAAAGGTAACCGTGACAACCCGTCTGCATTGGCAATAGAGTTTCCTTTTTTGTAAATAATATCATATCTGTAACCTGACAAAGCTAACGCCCATCGAGTAATTCTAGCAGCAGCAGTTGTTGGGATATTTTTATTTTTTGCAAAAATAAATTGAAGTGGTTGATGATCTGAAATAAGGGTAAATTTACGCCCATAGAGATATTTATGAAACTTTTTGACTGCAAATATTAAAGCTAAAGCCTCCCGTTCTAAATTACTATATTTTTGTTCAGTTGGAGAGAGGGTGCTAGAGGCAAATAGTACAGGTTTTTCAATACCATCAATAATATGACTCAATACAGCTCCCACACCATAGCCACTAGAATCACATGTCACATAAATAGGTAAAGTTGGGTCATAGTGTGTCAACAGACTATCTGAGGTCAACAAGTCCTTACTGAGTCTAAAGATGTCTTCACATTCATCAGTCCATTCTTTAGAAAAATCTACATCAGGTTTGCAAATATTATACAATGGCTTTAATTTTGATGACAACATTGGAATAAACTTGATGTAATAATTTAATAACCCAAGATAAGATTTCAATTCAGTAAGGTTTGTTGGGGACGGAGCAGACTTTATTGCTTGAATTTTTTCCTCAGTAGGATGGATACCTGACGAATCAATATAATGACCTAAGAATTCCACTCTATCTTTAAAGAATTTACATTTTTTATGATTGACTTTGACATTATATTGCTCAAGTCTTTTAAGGACTTCAATCACATTTTGATAACATTCCTCTAATGTTTTTCCATAACATAAAATATCATCCAAGTAACATTTTGTATTTTCCAACCCCACCAGAATATTATCCATAACAGTTTGGAAAATGCCAGGGGCTGAACTAATACCAAAAGTTAACCTATTATAGGCAAAAAGTCCCAAGTGTGTATTAATAACTAACAGTTCTTTGGACTTGTCACCTACTTCAAGCTGTTGGTATGCCCCTTTCAAATCAATGACTGAGAAATATCGATTTCCACTTAAGCAAGCATATATATCTTCGGGAAGTGGCAAAACACAATGATCTGTATCAAGAGCTGGATTCACAGTTTTTTTGAAATCAACACAAATTCTAATATGAGAACTGTCTTTTTTTGGCACAACTACTATTGGACTTGCCCAATTACTAAAATTAATTTTTTTTAATATACCCAAATCACACATTGTTTTTAATTCTGACTCTACTTTGCTTTTCAATGCAAATGGCATATCATAAGCTCTATGAAACACAGGTTTTGCTCCCTCCTTCAGATTCAATTCAACTTTAAAGTTTTTAATACAGGACTGTGACTCATCATTAAAAACATTTTGAAAATCTTTTTTTAAAGACAATACCAACTTCTCAATTTTTGAGCTTACCTCTGATATTCTGCCTGACTCACCCGGCAGCTTTTGACATATATTTGACACTGGGTGCTTACTAGACTGATTTTTAACATTTACCTGACTATCTGACTGAAACATATTAACTTCAAATGGCAACTGCTTACTAGAACTACTTGACTGACATGGTTCATACAAAGATTCATTCAACTGTGACCCAGACTGACAACACTCAGTTGAAATATCCTGTCCATCCATGAACTTATTAGTTGAATCTATCATGTTTAGACAGTCAAACGACAACTTATGTTTCCAGTCTGGGCTTAGTACATTTAGCCAATTTCGACCAAGCAATGGTATAAATTTATGACTGCTATCCAAAATTACTAATGGTAAACTTACTATTTTGTCCTTGACTTGTACAAACACATCAGTCTCCCCAGAATCTTAACACCTTCTCCTGTTAATACTTTTAACCTATACTTAACACTGTACAACTTCAATTCTGGTAGGTATTTTTCAGAGTCTGTGATGTGCATGACAGTTCTACAAGCTCCACTGTCTATGTCAAATTTAATCTTCTTACCTTCTATGTTCAATGTTACCTGAGCTGGATTTTCATCTTGGCTTTCGTTTATAGTTGCCAAAAACCCTAGAACTAGGTCATCATCACTTGTAGATGTCTCCTCTGATTCATCCAGTTTGTTGACTTTCTCACTTCGGCATGCACGACTTGTATGACCTTTTATTTTGCATTTAAAGCATTCCCACGCCTTTGCTGGACACTTTTCTAGGTCATGCTTTCGGACTCCACATCTATAACATGGCTTCACTTTTTGACTGTCTTTCTTAAACACAGTGGCACTATTTGACTTTTTTTGATTCTTAAAAGTAATTTTATCAAGACTTTCTGCCATCGTACTGACTGCACTTTCCATATTCATAGATTTTACTTGACCTTCAGCCAGTTCTATAGACAAGGCTTCATGTACTGCAACATCAAATGTTAAATTATCCATTGATAATAACTTTCTTTTAATGGCTTGTGACCTAATACCACATACAAACTTGTCTCTCCAAGCTTCTTGCAAAAATGCACCAAACTTACAGTGTACTGACAAACTTTTGAGCTTTTTCACATAAGCTTTAATGTCATCTCCTTGGTCTTGAATTGCATTCCAAAACTTATACCTTTCTGCAATTTGTAACCTTTTTGGACTAAAATGTTCAACTAATTTTGTTTTTAACACATCATAACTCTTAGCACTGGGTAAATCTGGAGTTAAAATGTCTTTAAGAGTTGAATATGCCTCTCCACCGATCAGTGTTAATAACATAGACACCTTCATTTGTTCTTCTACCACATTACACACAAACAGTTGTTCCATTCTCTCCATGTAACTTACTATATCTCCCACTTTTGGGTCAAAATGTTCTATATTACCAATTAGATTATTTGCCATGATTTTATTCACTTAAGACTTGTGAAAAATCCCAATATGTTGGCTATTTTAGGTTAGGTGGACACCTGGTGACATCGGCACTTAATTCCAAAAACTTTTGATTTCACACTTGAACGTGTGGACTGACTGACTTACACGTGGATACGTTGACTCGTCGCCAAATAATGTTATGTATTTTAATTAAAAGACATTGGTATAATTAAGATAACTTTATTCATAAAGTTACATGGTTATGAACATGAACATGACATTGACATACATGTCATCATTCTTCTTTTTTTAGTTGCCGCAGACAACATTCACAACAAGTAGGTTGGGTATTTAACAGTCGTAAATAAATTTTAAATTTACCGAAAATAAAAGCTGTAAACAAAGTACCGAACAAATAAAAAGGTTTTTAAAATCTTAAAATTCAACCTTTGATGATTCTAATATTAGAATTAAGTCATTTGAAACATTCTCACAGAACCTCCTCTAGATTTTCTGAAGGTTCAGTATGAAATATCTTTAAAAGTAGGAAAATAAAGAAAAAATTGGCCGGTTTCATATTGAGGATATAATGTATTTGTATAGAATGTTGTTAGGTCACGAAAGAAAGGTGAAGATCAAGATCAACGTGGCTACAAGAAGTTGAAAGTTACAAAACGCAGAAGTAAGAATGGCAGCGAAAAACTAAGACAGGAAAAAAGGGAGAGGGATCGTTAAGAAGAGAACATAAGCCAAAGGCACTGATCCTCCCAATAAATAGGATCTAGAAAGTTTTTGCGACTTTTTTTGCGTTTTTAACTCACATAGTGGCGTATAGTCATTCTATGACAGCAATCGCAGAAAGTTGCTCTTGATTGTCGCGTTTGCATTGTTTATCATTCTATTTACTTTTCTTAAATATGACAACTTAAACATGTTCTGCAGCTTTACTATAAATAGTTCAATTTTACCAAGCAGCTTTAATAATTTGATCACCTACCAAAGTATTTCTAAATAAATATGAACCAATATACTCATTTGTTGTTTTGATTTCAAAAGAAGTGTGGATTTACAAGTAGAATGCCGTAAAATAGATTTAAGTCTCAATGTCCGGAGGCGGAAAGCTTCAGCAGTCAAACACATGTGGTTCCACTCTTAATGTTTAACGTAGAGGTTTGGTTTCTCTTTATTCTCAAGTTAATAATAACATTAACTTCTTTTCTTTTCAGCAACGACGAGAATGATCTACCTAGGAAACGTCAGAAGAAGAGAAAAAACATTTTTTCCGAGAATGAGTAGTAGATTTAATATATGATGTACATATTTATTTTATTATAAGTTTTATTTATTATAACCGACATTATTTTGACTGACGCCCGTTTTTACATATATTTTAGTGTTGTCCATTTTTATTTATATATTGTAATTGTGTACAGTTTAAGAAAAATCCTTTTTTACATTATACGTATCATACGTAGTTCAACTTGAAAGTAATATTGTTGTGAGTTTCACTATTTCGGCAAAGACCCTGTTTTAAGCTGGATACGTCATCTATCCATATGTACAGCATAACACTTCACATAATATATTTTTATACTTGAATCTTTTTTACTGAATCATTTCTTATGTCTAATCTACTTTTTAGTAGAATTTCTGAGGTAGGTTCATAAAAAAGTTGTCTATGATGCTCTGACATTTTTATTCGCTTTTTTTCGAAGTTTAGTTATATGATTACCTAAAATACAAATAGAAAAGACAATATTTTTATTACATAAAAAAATTTGAGGCAGCCCTCAATACTTCTACGTATATTTTAAGTTGCATATTGTTCATAGATACAGAATGTCAACTGTCAACAATTTCTCGTGCTAACTGTCACTTTCCTCGTTTCACTGTTTCAGTCACTCGAAAATCCTATAACCTTGTTTGGGTTTCCAATTCGAATTAAATAAATTTCTTCAGAAACATACAAGAAACAAATATAGACAATGGCTTTACACGTTCCTAAAGCACCGGGATTTGCCCAGATGTTAAAAGAAGGAGCCAGGGTAAGGCTTTTATTTAATATTTATATAAAGTATGCACATGTGGTTTTGGGTGTATTATAATAGCCGGTAATAATTCACTTTTAGCACTATTCTGGTTTGGAAGAGGCTGTTATAAGAAACATAATAGCATGCAAGGAATTTGCACAATCTGTAAAAACTGCCTATGGTCCAAATGGTATGAACAAAATGGTGATTAATCATATTGAGAAACAATTTGTTACAAGTGATGCAGCTACAATTATGCGAGAACTAGATATTGAACACCCAGCAGCCAAACTCATGATACTAGGAAGTCAAATGCAAGATGCTGAGGTGGGTGATGGAACTAACTTTGTGATTATACTTGCAGGAGCACTTTTGGGTGAGTCATCAATGATATGTCTTTTACTAAGAGTATTTTCTTCTTTCTCAGCTTTTCCCTTTTCAGAAGCTGTCCCCCTAAGAGTATAAATATGCTAGTTAATATAATTTAATTTAAATTTCTTTAGAGATGAATTAAAAAAAATATCATTTTTGTTGACTTATCTTACCATTCTCTGCATATTTAGTATTAGGACATTATAAGTAACAATAGTATTGTCTGCAAAAAATAATAGTCTTCATAATGTACTTTTATAATTATACTGTAACTTCCTAAAATCTAACTAATTGACAGTTTTGATAACATTCATATTATTTGTATAGAGCATGCTGAAGAACTAATTCGTCTTGGAGTAACTCCCACAGAAATTGCAGAAGGTTTTGAGAAAGCACTTGACAAATGTCTAGAACTTCTTCCTAATCTTATTTGCTATACAATCAAGGATTTCAGAAATATTGAAGAAGTTACAAAAGGAATACAAACCTCAATTCAATCTAAGCAGTATGGCAATGAAGAGTTTCTAGCAAAACTTATTGCAGAAGCATGTGTGTCAATTTTGCCAGAAGAAACAACATTTAATGTTGATAATGTCCGAATATGTAAAGTTTTGGGGTCTGGTTTACATAATTCTCAGGTAAGGATTGGTTTTATAATTATAGGGTACTGTACAACATATTAATAGTTGTACTTGAACACTTAAATTTTTGATAATTTATTTATTTAGTATAAAAACATACTATACTCTGTTTTTTAACCAGGAGGAAGGAGTAAACCAAAAAGACAGATTCACACTCAAGAAAGTTACTAGAAAACTCACCAAATACATCTTTTTTGTTGATTATCTCGGCGGTAATCGAGTAATTAATATTGGACAACCTCACACGTCAATTTTAACCTAACTTTGTTTATTTATGTTTGAATAATAAAATAATTTTTTTCAATTCACTTCCAATATATCGTCGTTAGGAATGAAATATCTCCAATGTAAAAATATCCTAATTTTACAGGAGACACAAAAAACAGTTAAATAACGCTATTTTATATTGTATTAAATTAGTAATTGATTTTTTTGGCCAAACTAAGATAGATATTGATATTAAGGTGAAATTGATTCCTTAAATCAATACAAAACATTAAAATAATAAAAAAATATATTACGAACTCGCACATTGGAGAAATTATAAATGATTGAACCGGTACATAGCAGGAATTTCAAATATTTTGTATGGCATGTCATAATACTATACACCTTGAATTTGGTGTTATTAGGGGAAAAAGAGTTATATAAACAGTAAAGTGATTTGTATTATCTTTATTTTAAATAAACAAACTTCGACATGTAGTATCAGTGTATGATATTTTTACGAACACCACCGAAAGTATTATTTTTTGTTGATTTTAGGAAGAGTATCGTAAAAGTGATAATGATCTTTTTCAATAACTGATTTGAGGTCTTGCAGATGTTTGAACTTGTCTTCTGATATTTCAGGAGGTGTCTTGAAGAGCGAGTTTTCATAAACCGACAGGTATTTGCTTCCTCTTCTGTGTGGTAGTAGCTTCCAGTTATCTGAGTAATCAGTGGTGTAGTATACCTCTCCATTGGGACTATATTTTAATTGTCTTATATCTACAACTTGCGGATCTTTGGCATTTTTTCAAGGTCTTATTGAACGGAAGTTACTGTCAATAGTGTACTTTTTAAAGAACGTAAAATCTACGTTTTTAATATTATATGGATGTTTTTGCCGAGCAAGACGCATTCTAGCAATGTAATCCATCAGTGAATTAATTGGAGTCTGAAAGTAATGTTCCAAAGTTAAATGAACTGAATCTGCTTCCATCATAGTATGGTCTTTTTCAAGATATAACTGCTGTATTGTAAGGGATTTTGCTCTTGGTGAATCACTTAAAGCACTAGCCAGAGTTTTTTCGATTTTGGTAGTTGCATCCATCTGAGATGAATATAAGAATTTGATAGTTAGCAGGAATATTATTTATATAATATATAAGTCAAGATGTAAATTCATTGCTACTGACTTCACCATTTGCTTTATGCCAAACATACAACTGGACATTTTTTAGAGAATAAATGGTGAAGATGTGTACTTGGAGTTTGAGCTTATAATACGATTGGAAGCTAATACTTTTGGACACGTTAAGAAACTTTGAAGATCAACTGTGAGAACCAATTTTTCAGAATTTGCGCTACTTTTTAATAACTCTTTTGCCCGTCTTCCTTCTTTCTGCTTTGACATGTGCTGATCATGATCTTCAGTACTTATTGTCTTCATTTTATGTGCAATATCACATTGATCTTTCCTTTGCTTATGTATGCCAATTTTCTCTGCTTCTAAAACAACTTTAAACAACTTAACTTGATATGAGCAACTGGCTGCTTTTTATCATCGCACCATTGTTTATATAGTCTGTACATGTAATTTGTTGTTATGATACTGTTGTCAACATATATTCTGCTAGTAGATGCTTTACGATAGTGTGAAGGAACTTTAGGAATATTTTGCAACCATTCCATAACATTCTGTTCTTTGCAAATTTGTCTAATTTTTCTTGGAGTAATCTTGTTGAATGTTGGAATCTTGTAGACTTTCACTAGAAGTATCAATTTCATGAGTGGCTGGCTCCCTTGAGACCCATCGTTTCATTATGTCTTCTCCTAAATTTAATGTATTCAAAAGCATAACTCGGCATACCTTGAGGTAACTTCCGTCTTTAGAAACAAAAAAAGTCATGAGCACTCTTTTTTTTGGACCGTTTGTCTGAATTTTGAGAATCTTTTCGGCGCCTTTGCACTGCTCTTGCCTGAACAAGATTTTTGACATAAGTGCTTCTATGTTCCCACGACGTTAATGTACAAATTTTTTTAAAAATTCGTGGTCTATCGTCCTGCGTAATTAAAGAACATCTAAATGAGTGTTCTTTTAAACATTTTGGCGTTATAATATGGTTACATCGCTCCTTTACTGACAAGCCATTCCGTCTGTTAATATGTTGTACATCGCCAAAACACAAATTTTGCCTTTTTCCTGTCCCAATATAGTAGCTGCAGGCAAACTGAAATAAGAAAAATAATTATTACCTACTTAATTTAAGCAATAATGAGATGAAAGATATCTAACCGTAGTAGTGAATTTGTTTATATATCTGTTTTTGGATTTTTCATTGTAAATTTCATTTTCAATAGGAGCAAAAGTTTAAATAGAATTTTGTCGATCTTCCTTAAGTGAATTTTGTACAACTGTTTTAGTTCTTGTCTTGAAAACACTTATTTTGCACTGGTAAATAGCTTATTTGAGAAAATTTGAGGATAGGAATTTGACAGATGAAAGTATGAAATACCTCCAATGTGCAGATATTATAATAGATAATAGCTCCAATGTGTTTTTTAAGCACATTGGATTTATTTCAGTCCAACAATTCATAATATGTTACATTGGAGTAATACATTTTTAGACATTAGAGAAGTTAGGAATCGGTACGCACATTGGATATTTTTCTAGACTGTAAAACTATTCATAGCGATTCAGAATCGTTTAAAATCTGAATTACCAGAAATTTGCACATTGGAGGTATTTCATTCCTAACGACGATATATTACAATAAAAAAAGGAAGTTTTTCACATTTGGTCCCATGTATATATATTTAAATATCGGGTGATCCAGTTTTATAGATCTCTTAAGTCTATGGTATTTAATTATAATTTAGAGAATATTTTTATCGGGGGTCAATAATGTTACAGATCTAAGTATGGTTTTTCTCAGAAATTTGTCTTTTAATAGTAGACCATATTCTTATTCTGGTATGATCAATTTCTTGAATCTAGTTTTTTTTCTTACCAGATACTTTGTATAAATAAGTGTGTACTTATAATTTCTTTAATGCTGGATTTAATTTTGACAGTGAGTTTGTCTCATTTGTTATCAACAAATAAAATTTACTAAAAAATACTGGATTTCTGTGAGATAATCAAATTCAATCTATTATGTTACATTCTTGCATAATTTTGCAGTTTTCTTGTGATGATCTACAACCAGGAAGAACAAAACCAACTGTATCATACAATCAAACTAATACACAACATTACTTTACTAATGTTCTTTTACTGTGATGAAAACAAAATGGAAATGCTTCTTAACAAGTATACACTAAATTTAGAAGATAGTTGCCATTTTTCTTATGATAATTAGATATAAATAACATACATTTATAAATTTATAAATATAGAAAAATATCACATTAAATACTATTCGCATATCACCAAGTCCAAGTTATTACAAACAACTTAAAGAGTCAGAAATCGATTTATATATTAGAGGAATATAATAATAAATAAATTTCACAAATGTCATTAGTGTCAATTTGTCATAATTTAGTGGAGTAAACTTGCCTGCGGTTGGACCAATTGCAAACAAGCATTATGGTGCGGAAAATTTGAATTACTCCTCCTGGTTAAAAAACAGACCATAGGAGCACAATATTACATTAAAAAAGTGTGATTATCATTAACTAAGGGTTAGGTTAGGTTTAGTGATGGGACTATCGATTACTTTATACTTTCAACTAGTCGACTACTTTTAAATATTGATTAGTCTAGTTGACTAGTCGGGGTATGCGTGGTCAGTTGTCACCTGTCACTGCCAGTCTCAGTTTGTGTTTTGTTTGGTAGGGACAACACAAAGATGTAAAAATACCCAGGATAGAACCTATGAATAAAATACTTCGGTCCAAAGTAGTCGCTAACACTAGCCTACCTGAACCGACCATAGCCAACTCTTAGTTTCCGGAATGCTTTCTCTTGATTTATGAATGAATTTCTTGATTTACCTTCCATTCTAGAACTAGTCATTTGTAGTTTAACTGTGTACAATCGACTAGTCAAAACAATCAACTAGTTGATAGTCTGAGTACTAATTGGTTAAACTACTAGTTTACTAGTCGATTACCCCATCACTAGTTAGGTTACCCATTAGGCCATCCGCACATAAAGCTACTAAAAAAAATCAGTTGGTAAATTTAGTTACCAATCAGTTGGTAAATTTAGTTACCAATCAGTTGCTTATTAGTTACTGTCTATGTATTTTAATGAGTATCCACACGCAGCGTCACTAGTTAGTAACCAGTCTCTAATGCATCAGTGATCCGTTGACAGCAGACTGGACGTGCAGGTTGCTTGGGAACTAGTTTGTTGTGATATTTTTAAAGTTTACATGGGAAATGGCGAAATTAGTAGAATAATGGTTTAATATAAATTAGTGCAAGAAGTGGAAAAACATCCCTGTCTATACAACTATATGTTAAATTAAGATTCACGTAAAGACATTACCAAAAAGGCTTGGAAGGATAAAGGCTCTGCAATTTATATTGTTTGCAATCTAGAGATGAACCCAATACCTCCTTTTTTGCATTTTACATCTTTTATTATAATAATAAAGAATAATATTTTCATCACTTGAGTCACTAGACATTTTTAACGTGATAATAACACTCAATAATATAATATTAAGCTTAAAATTTAAGCACCCTATAACAAAGCTACTCGTACAGGCAAAAAGTGACTTGTTTCTATTAATTTTCAATATCATAGTGTGTGAGTCACAGTAAGTAAACAGTTGGTAATTCTAGTTACCAACTAGTTAAGTTTCCTTTTAGTAGCTTCATGTGCGGACAGTCTTAAGGATAGAGTTTGTTTTTTCAAAAATTTTAAGTAAAAATTATAAATCCGGAAAAACTAATTGTAGAAACCAAATTTAGATTTATTCTTTAATCTGTGCCTTCTAATAATTGCAAGGCAAAACAGACATTGATAAAGATATAATTAGGAACTTGGGGAAACTAAAATTGCATTCCACAACATATCTCCTCAACTAAGCAGAAATCCTTAGCGAATTGGTTTCTAGTACTCATAAAGAGTATCTTGAAATAAAAGGAAAGATAGTTAAGATTTGATTTCACTTATAGTGTGCCTGCATATGCACTATACATATTCTGTGTTTCTTCATGTTGAAACAGGTAAAAAAATCAAGTTTGTGTTATTTTAATTTGTTAATAATGGAGCATAAATCTCATAATATTCCCTGATAGGTCCTAGAAACAAGAAAGTATTTTTGACAGAAATCTATTTACCAGTATTAACAAAGGGTTTTATTATAAGCTAAATAATGAATATATAAGTGACATATATATTGTTTACAGGTTGTACAAGGTATGGTGTTCAAAAGACAAGTTGAAGGGGAAATAACTAAAGCAGAAAAAGCCAAAATTGCTGTATTCAGCTGTGCTGTTGATATTATGCAAACTGAAACTAAAGGTAAGATTAAGTTAATGTAGCATATGATCTGTTTGGATATGTTTCTGTGATAACACAGAAAAACCTTCTTTAAGTATTATTAATAGTATTAGTGAAGACTCAATTGTCTACTTTCAAATATACAAATAATATAAGAAGTCTATATGAACTGTATTAAATTCCAACATTTGATATTTAGGATTATTTTTTCATCCAATACTCTGAAATTATTCCCAAATTGACTTTGAAAATAAAATACTCTTACAATTTTCAGTCCAATTATTGAATGTATTATTGAAGCTTTTTTAGTTACTGATATACTAATTTAGATTTCAAAGATTTTTCTTATTTATTCATAAAAATATTGGTTAATGATTTTTTAACATTTTTTTTTTCTTTAACATTTTTTTATAGCTTTGATTCCTTTGGTATATTAATGATAAGTTATGTACCAGTTGGCTCATCATTACAAGTAAAATCTTTGATACCTTTAAGATAGTGAAAAATATAAAGAATCTGTAGATACATATCCAGATCGCTTAACAATTACTTCCAAAGCATTTTATTTGTGACAGCTTTGGACATACAATTTTTGTGTTCACAATATAACCACAAGAAGATAAAAAATGTACATCTGGGATGAATCCATTTGAAGCAGGGAACCTCAAGAGATTGGTTTGTGCTTTGTTTATTTTGTAATAAACTTTTTTAAAAGTATTACCAAGATCATTATATATGGTGATAGATGTGTGGACAGAACAAAAATAAAAACATTGTAAAGCTGCTTATGTTCTTGGTTAAATGTATTCATATTTAAGAGATTCACCACAAGTTTTGGAACTGGGCCATACATTTATGGAAATCGATAGAGATTTTGGCATAATTAATAAAAAAAAGGGAACTGTAAGAATCCACAGGTATTTGTTCCAGTGCACTAGGCTCAGCTACTTCATCTTTTAAAAAATTTAATGTATACCAAATGAGTAAAGAAAACTTTTACTTGTGAACTATTAAACAGAGTTATAAGTGATCCTAACAAAGACACTACATGTGTTCTTTTTAAATTAAGACCAGTGTGGCAATTTTTGTAAAATTCTTCAAAAACACTTTTGTTTACTTTTAAATGAAGGATTTGTATTTTTTAAATGTAAATGTGTAAAAAAGGAGCTGGACGTTGGGGAATCTTAATAAATTTTTTTTATTTTTAAGGAACTGTACTTATCAAAACTGCAGATGAACTCATGAACTTTAGTAGGGGAGAAGAAAATCTTCTTGAATTACAAATCAAATGTATAGCAGATGCTGGAGCTAAAGTTGTAGTTGCAGGAGCCAAATTTGGAGATATGGCTCTACACTATTTACATAAATATGGTATCATGGTTGTCAGGTTGAACTCCAAATTTGATTTAAGAAGATTATGCAAAACTGTAAGTTCATTTTGAGTATTGATGTGTTAAAGAAAGCTGTTTTTTAAACACACATTTAATATATGAATTTTATAGGTTGGTGCTACTTGTCTTCCACGCCTAACAGCTCCCACATCTCAGGAACTTGGTTACGCAGATATTGTATGTGTAGAAGAATTGGGTGATACCCCCATAGTTTCCTTCAGATTGGAGGGCAAAGAATCTAGAATTTCCACAATTGTCATCAGGGGTGCTACTGACAATTACATGGATGACATTGAAAGAGCAATTGATGATGGAGTTAATACATTTAAGGTATGACTACACTAATCAAATAATCATTGTCTTGGAAAACCCATAATTATTCAATTCAGGTAGCAATGGGAAAGTCTAAATAGATAAAGAACTATAGATAATGAGCTTATTCATATCCAAGTCATAAAATTTCAACCAAGGGAGAAAATGTTAAAACTTTTATATAATTTATTTTTAAAATATGCAAAATAAATCGAATTTAGCTTAAATATTCAATGTTGTTTGAGATGAGCAAAAATATGCAATACATGCATTTACATGCACTTGCATATATTTAGTTCTATAATCATTGGCATTTGCTAGACAACCCTTCTTGGGTCTTGGCCTGGTCAATAATTTGCCATTCTGATCTATTATACCATTTGTTTAAGTTGTTATTTTGAATTGCGAAATATTGTTCTATTTGTTGCAGTTTTTATGAATGTTATATCTGAGTCTTGGTATGTTTTGTATAATTCATAATTATATCTTTTCCAGATGCAATTTTCCTTTGAGCATTTGTATGTGTCTTAAGACTTTTCTTTCGGCAATGGCTGATTGTTTTTCTTCACTTTTAATAAGTATCCATATATTTAAATAATTTTTTCCAATATATATTTTTTGTTTTAACCCTTTCATCATATGTTGCAAGGATATAAGGTCGACCGCCAATATTTTTAGGACATCATACTGTTCCAGTCTGCTCATATTCGTTAATTGTTCTGTAAATAGTTGAATTCGCAACAACTAAAATTAGTACAGTACTTAGTAAGTTTTAATTTTAACAATAACTATTCTGCAAAACTAACCTGATGTATGTTTTATTTTTGGTACCATGGCATTATTTTCATTCCAGGATTATCCAAGCTGTTATTTTCATTCCAGGATTATTTTTATTTGTTTGTACATGTTTATAATGTATGTATTGTTTTTCATTTGATGATAAATGACCCAAATCTACTCAGCGTTTTTTAGGTGGAGAAGGATAATTACCAATAGTACTTGGCATTGAATCCAAATTTTTTATCTTAATAATACTAATACGTCACTAAATGTTTTTTTTATAAATGCAAAGGAAAAATCTAAAAATTAAAGGAATAACGCATAAAATACAAAAAATTGTCGATATAAATTTTGAATTTTAAATTTTCATAAATGTCATTAGTGTCAAAATGTCACAATTTAGTGGAGTAAACTTTCTTTCAGTTGGATCAATTACAAACAAGCATTACGGTGCGGTAAATTTGAATTACTCCTCCCGGTTAAAAAACAAACCATAGTTTTTAATGCGTTAATCATGTTTTACTTTAACATTTATTCCCATTTCATGTTGTATTACTTATTTTGAATGCTCTCACTTTTTATCTTTCATAATAGACTTAAGTTGAGTTAGCTGTCCTGTTCCCCATCATTATTTTATATTAAGTGAATCTTGATATGTAGCGTTGTTATTAAAATTACGAACTACAAAAAAAAACATTAAAAGTATCCAGTAAGTTTTCAATAATTTAATCCAAATTAATTAATGTATACATTACAATTATAGGGAATCTCTCGAGATGGCAGATTTGTTCCTGGTGCCGGCGCCGTTGAAGCAGAGTTAGCTGTTCAATTGACTAAATATGCAGACACTCTTCCAGGCTTAGAACAGTATGCAGTCAGAAAATTCGCATCTGCCCTTGAAAGTTTTCCCAAAACTTTGGCAGATAATAGTGGACACAAATCGACAGCAGTATTAGAAAAAATATTGGAAGCTCACCAGAATGGTAAAGTTAAGATTTTTTTCATTATTCATTGTTTGTATAGAAAAATACAAAATTACAGTAACTCTCGTCCTGAACTTATTGTATACCATAGGTACCAACGGCAAGTGTGTATTCATTACTTTTCTTTCGTTCATCACATTTATTATCGCTAAAAATGACCGAGAGATGCAAGCAATGAATTTGCAGTGAGTTTTACTTTAAATAGGAAGAAGTTGTATGAAAGCTAATCAAATTATGTAAAATTCTTTTAGTCCAATATACCACTGTAAAACCTATTTTGATGAAATTTTGGAATTAACCTCTATTTAACTTAATTTAACCGTAATTCTAGCTATGTGCCTGCCCATCTCAATTTTAGTGTGGCTATCCTTTCAATGACGCCAATCACCTTGGTTCTTCTCCTGACCTCTTCATTCTTTATTTTGTTTCGCAGAGTTATTCCTAACATGGATCGCTCCAAAAAACAAAATCAATTTATACATAAAATAAATTAGGTTGAAAATTAAAAAAAAAAACAAGAAACAATTAAGTGGTATGGGCATGTTCAACGGATGTCAGCAACAAGACTTCCCAAAAAAGTAGTAGAATGGCAACCGATAGGTCGACGGAAAAGAGGAAGACCCAGATTAGAATGGCAACACGGCGTAAACAAGTCCATGAGCGAAAGAAATTTAACAACAAACGACTGTGAAGATAGGAAGAGATGGTGTTTAGGTATCGGACAACGTCGAAAGACGTTCTAAACCGATGTATATATATAAATTAGGTTGATAATCAGCATCATCACTATGAGTATTTTCGTCTTCTTCCTCTTCTTCATATGTTATTGCAGCACCAGTTTGATAATCTTGGCCAGAACATTCACCACAAGTTGAGTTGCAAAAAGGGCCAACTTAGGGTATTACCACATAGGGTATTACTTACAGGGGGTTGAAAATTGGGGACAGAAATCACTGGGCGCGAAATAGGACAAGCAAAACAAATCTGAACGTTTGCGAACGCTACTCATTGGTTTGATTGGAGAGCTGGGCGCGGGTGAGTGAATAAAAAAATGTGGACTGAAAAGGGGCAACTACAAAAAAAGAATTCAAAAAGGTACTTACATGGATTTCCTGGACAACACAAGAAGGTTCCTAAGCTGTTTAAAATGGACGCCGCTTACAAGAATCCTCCTGCTGGGTGGAAAGATTTTTCTGGTGGAAGGCTTTTCTTTCCTGATTTTATTGACTATTGTATCTCCTTTAAAAGTTTTGGGGTTGGAACTAGACTCAAAAACACTGCAAAACAAACAAATGCGTCCCACAAACTGCAAAATGGTCTGAAATTACTAGGGACAACAAATAGATGATGGAAGCTTGACACTGGATCATCGAGCATCAGGTTAATTAGCGAAATCTTCAAAGCTTGGCTTTTCAAAACTTCTAGAAAACATGTGAACCCCTTATATCGTAAGACCTTACAAATCTTCCATTTAGGACACAATACAACACATATAACAAATCGGAGATTAATTCAGCAAAACCTGCCAAATTTCCTTTTATTTCCTTTGATTTTTGTTCCACAAACAAAATCTGACGGCTCTTTGAAAATTACACACACACACCCGTGCTCTTTTCCCGTCAAGATCTTAAACCAACCTAGATTTGACCTTCTTCACTCTCTGTACCTGCTTCTCTGGTCCTCTTTACCCCTCCTATCAGTCATAGCCAATCGAAAATCTTTTCAACGCACTTTTCAGGGTATACGACCTTGAATCATTGCTTGGGTTTGAAAATTGCAGAATTTAAACGTAAAATATGATCATATTTTTATTACGTAGTTAAATTCTTTCTTTGATGATCGAATATAAACAAAAACTCAAGGAATGTTATACATAGCCCAGGGGCGTACCAGATAAATTTTATATATTGAATATTCGATGGTTATAAGGAATTTATACATGCCACAACATGATGTATGATGAATGACAGACGCATTCTTTTTTGCAGTTGCAATATATTAGTTGCAAGAGTTCTTGTGATACCGGACTTTATTGCAGTAGTAATGCTTATTAGTCTAGTCTTCAGAGATTTGATCTCTAAAAAGCATACGAACAAGCTGAATTTTGCTAAGAATGTCAATTTTGATACAGAGTGCAGTTTACCTATGCAATTTTTGCAGGAGTTGTGTAGTTTCGAAAAACATATTTGAAGAGTATTCACGCAAAAGTTGATAATTCCACTTCCACTAATTTTGAGAAACTAGTTCTTTTGTTATTGCTCTTTAGCAATGTTCATTACTTTAATTAGCTAAGATAATAATTAGCGGTGAATTAAATTTTATAAAAGCCCTAAAAACCGTATTAATTTTTGCAATTAACAACTTTATGGACTTAAGATTTGTTTGAATAAGTTAACGTCGCTTCGTAATTTTTTTCCCTTTTTTCGGCAACCAGCACTGCTTTTCCTCACTAAATTCAAGTCTTTATCTTAACCATCCATAACTACACAACACACCAATATATTTTTCTGCCAGAACCAAAACCAAAAGTCGAAAAACGTTCAACGCTCACGTTACTTTTACTGTTTTATGTGAATCACAAAACTTGCGCCATCTCTACCTTACACTAAATACTAACTCGAAAACTAAATAACGAAATATTGTTGTGATATATTTCTTCTTAATGACATTGGTTCAGCTATTATACTTGGTAATAGGAGGCACACATTGCCAAAACAATAAAAATATATTCCAGGGATCTTCGAAGTGTACTTATCAACTTTTGACTGAATCCTGATAGCACCCATAGGAATTATCGAGTTTTGTTTGAACTTACCTATGATATAAGATATTATGGAAATAATAACTTTTGCTTGATTGTGACTGCTTTCGTATTTTTTCTGCATTGTATTTATCATTTTAGAACGAGATTTGATAAAAATTTAGACAGATATTTGCTTTTAGATGCCGAATCCATGCCCAACTTAAAAATGGCAAATTTGGGCTATCAACTTTTGCGTGATCAATATGTGCAATCGAAAAAAGCGTTTCAGAATGTTTATTTAGAAATTAAGAAATAATTCAACCATTTTAATTATTGCATATGACTGAGATTATCTTATTTTTACAAAATTTGTATGTATCTTTCAGGACAGAAAAATGTTGGAGTTGACATAGAAGCTGAAAGTGCAGTATGTGACGCTTTGGAAAAGAACATCTTGGATCTCTACCAATGTAAATATTGGGGACTGAAATATGCCGTAGGAGCAGCAGCAACTATTTTAAGAGTCGACCAAATTATTATGGCGAAAAGGGCAGGTGGGCCAAAAGTTAGGCAACCAAAGGGAAGTGACGACGAATCTTGAAATCGTTAATTTTGCGCTTGGTTTCTCACTTACACTTAAATTCACTTTACAACTCACTTGTATTAATCTGTTAATTTAATTTTTTAATTAATATTTCTTAACTAATATCGTGTTTTCATTTCTTTATATATACCTAGTAGTTTTTACAGCACCATACTATATTAACAACAATAACTAAAACTCTGATACTCATAAAATTCAGGGTGATGAAAATAGCACTCTTGGAAAAAAATAATGGTTTGGTTAAAAATGTCTAAAACATGACCTTCATCCTAGCCAAATACGGGGTCACTAAAGACAAAGCAATGAAACTAGGGAAGAACAAAAGCAGGAACTTAAGTTGAAACAAAGATTAAAATACATATTTTACTAGTACTGAGTTGTGGATCTGAAACATGAACCATCTCAAAAGTAGTTGGAAATCTTTTAGTTGTTTTGAATGAATGATATGGAATATATAACATACAAACGCATACCAAGCGGAAAAGACGCGACTCTCAAAATTAGAGATGGACGATTGAGATACGCAGAACATATAGCACCATCGCAACAATAGAAATCTTCGGACACATTTTATGTCAAATGCTGTAGGAAATAAAAAGTTCGTTAAAAAATTCGATTAACAATATTGATAAATCACGATTTCGCAGTGACAGGAGCTGTACATAAAAATATAAGAGAGAAAAATGCAAAGGACTCAGAGAGAGTGTAAAAACAGGATTTAAGAGTCAGTGGATACGAAATCTGGAGATGGGTATGTACGGTATGATAAAACAAGAGGTCTTCTAATAGAATATCTCTATTGTCCAAGTGTAACAAATAATGGGCCCACATTAAGGCCAATATAACGAATTGGAGTTGAGAGCTGATGTGACAAATAGAAATAAGGGGATTATAAGAAATTATAAAAATGCTCGGCTAAACGAAACAAAGAGGCTTAATACATGAGAGTGACCACCACTAGAAGACTTGAGCCAATTGGCATGCCTGTAAAAGACAGTACAATATTGAATAAGACAAGAATAATGAAAGAAAATAGAGGTAACGCAGAAACTATGAAGAATTCTCACTGTACGTAAATATTTGGGCGCCAGGAAAGTAGATAGAATATACTTCGCTAAGTTGTAACCTATATTATGAAATATAAATCCTTTGGGTACCTGTATATCTCCAAACTATTTGTTAAAGATTATTTATTGGTACATACAAAAAACTGACATTTCGAACGTCAACTCTCCAATGACGTCACGACTTATGCGCAATATCTTATCTTCTTAGTCATAGTATCATGTGAAAACTGATAATTCGGAATTCGGTCAGATTCGGTGCCAGATCTGCTTTCAGTTGACGCTTAGAAGTGACCATTGTTGTTTTGTCGACGGTAATTTGATTTACGCATTTACAAAGTTATTTCGGTGTTTATAAAAACTTACAAGACATTAAGGTAAGATGAATAAATTTACTACCATTTTTTTTGTTAGTTTAATATCAGTTAATACGTTTTAAGCTAATTAAACGGTAATTGTGTGGCATACATAACCAACAAAAATGCGTTTCATTTTTAACCGAAAAATCCCGATTTGAGATACCAGTAGCTTCCAAATGTGAGAGTGTCTCAAATTGGGACCCCGTGTAAAATTTTTATTTTTATGTATTTTTTTATATTTAGATGCTGCCAAAAAATAAACAATGGAACGCAAATGATATGATACGGGCTATGTCAATATAGTATGATATACAAATGGTATGTCAATACAGTAAGAAATAAAGAGATGGGCTATTTGAAGGGCTCAACAGTTTTTGGAGTACCTAAAGGTACCTTAAAACGATATGTGAAATGAGACAAAACTTCAGAAGAACTCATCGGGATAACAATTGGCTGTCGACCTATTCTTCCTTTCTGAAAAGGCATCAGACGCTTTCAATGCATACTCATGGAATGTCATCTGCTCGAGTAAAATCGTTTACTGCTGAAAATGTATCCAAGTTAACTAACCCAGCACAACATAAATTCAATGTGGACGAAACGGGCCTTACAATAATTATTGTTCAGCACAAACATAGCAAAGTTATTTCTATGTGAGGAAAGAAGCAGGTTTCGTCACTTACTTCAGCAGAAAGGGGCAAGTTAGTACTGGTATTACGTGTAAGAATGCTGCAGGAGTTTTCGTACCACCATTATTAATCTTCCCTAGAAAAAATATGAAAACAGGTGATGCTAGGAGCTCTCATTGGAGCAGTGGCTGAGTTCACGTGCCAGGTTGGGTACAGGCCGATATTTTCACTAGATTGTTTTAACACTTTATAAAATTCACTAAACCTTCAATTGCAGACCCTGTTCTCTCGTCCTTGATGGTCACGATTCTCATACGAGAAATGTTGCTCTAATAGATTTGGCCAAGCAGAATCATGTGATGATTATTTGCCTCCCACCACATTCTACACATAAGATGCAACCGTTGGATGTAACTTTTATGGCACCTCTGAAAACTTACTACGCACAAAAAATAGAAAACTTGCTTAGGGTCGCCTTATGCTGTTGTCAGTACAGAGCTGCGATGATGGACATATATTGCAATGGTTTCCGGAAAAATGGACTGGTCCCTATTAGGGACTTTGAATTTGGAATTCAAGAGTAATTAGAAACACAAAACGAAATGGATGAACAAATAATAGAACCACATAATGAACAGCCAAATCATCCAATGCGAGAACATAGAACTCCCAGTCCACCAATACCTCATCATAAACAACTTGTTTCTCCGAAAGACATCTGTCCGATCTCTACAAATAAGAGAGATACCACTAAAAAGGACATGCCAGATCAGGAAAGGCTTCAGTTATTACTCATAACACCGTACAAAGAAGAATTAGAGAAAAGTTTGCAGAACAAAAAAACTAGTACCCCAGAAAAACTTGGCTTGTGTATTAGCTCCAGAAAAAAACAATTCAACAAAAAGGGTTAGATAAAAAAAATCAGCAACGCTCGAAGAAGAAATACCAGTGCATGAAGACGTAGGTCAACCTTCTACATCAAAAGGCAACAGATCAAGAAGGAAACGGAAAGTTTCTTCAAGTTCAAGCTCAGACAGCAGAAAAGACTGCTGTCTGAGTATGAACATTTTGAATGTCTATTTTGCACCGGCAAATATTTTCGACGAGATATGGCGAACAATGGGCAAAATGTTACCAGTGTGGCAGGTGGGCACATGAAAACTGTGGAGAAATAAAGTCCAGCACATTTATTTGCATTTTCTGCGCAAGAAAGGGTATTTTTGAATAGTCTCTTAAATTGGGGTACCTGTTCAAAATTTAATGCCCGGCTATCCCAAAACAGGCCACCTTTTATTTTTAACATTAAATGTCACAAAAAAATTAAAAGTATTTTTTTGTAAAAATATATGTTTTATTAGCTTTATATATATATATATATATATATATATATATATATATTATTTGTATTTTAGAATCATTAAATTTAAGTTTTGGAAGTAAATGTTTTAAAAACTTTTGAATGTTCTGTTTTATATTTGTTTTTAAAAAAAAGTGTCTCAAATTTGCTGCCTTTCCTCTAATGATATAGTACGTTAAGTTTTAAATTAGATATAGGTACACCCACAGCCACCTTTACTTCCAAGCCATGAAGTAAAAAAGGCAACACCGCATTCTATGACGTCGGTAGTCCGATAATCAGCTGTAAGGTCTACCAGAATATTAAACTAATTTGAATTTTAGGAAACTGATAATTACAGAAATATTTTAGGGAAATTAAATTAATAAAACCTTATATATACCTAGTAAATATATATAAGGTTTTATTATTATTTAGGTTATATTATCAATAAAATAATCACTAGAGTAAAATTTATTGCACTTAAAATACAGTGTCAAACAGTTAATCTTACAATCAAATGCAGTCAAGAATCACTAGAAATTTTAAATATTTTAAGTACTTAAGCATATAAATAACACAAAACATTAACAGGACATTTAAAAAGATTATTAAAAATACAAAAGATATAAAATTTGTGATAAGTAAAAACTTAGTGTAACTATTATGATTAAAAAATTCATCCTAAGAAATCAGACACAATATAAATATGGTTCTAAATTAATCTAATTGAAAATTAAATATTTTACTATTTACTTATAACTTTTGTTGAATTTTCATACTTAGATATACAAAAGTAGCAATTTTAAATATTAATAGGTTTGTTGTCATATAGACCAAGTTAAAAGAGGTATACATGAAAAATGTGTTGAATGTAACATACCATTTATAACTTGTATATCGATTTAAATTAGCCTATATTCTCAAAAGATTTTTGAATGTAATACTCAAATTTGTTATCACTTATCTAAAAAGCAAATCTAATCGAGTAAGTAAGTTCTCTAATTGTGACCATCTTGTTAATTTACTATATTGTAAAATCCATTTCAAATCATTACCACTTAATGTATTCTTACCTACATTGACGATTACAGGATTACACTAAAATTACTGCTAACTATTACACTACATATTACACAAATATTATCACACTTGTGTTCCAACTGATTAATGTTTAATACATAGAAATATACACAATCACTTGTAATTTTACTTGTCCAGTTTTTCAATGGGATATTATTGTCTAAGTCTAATTGACATAATTATGTTATCTCTTGTTCCCTCTTCTTATGCACAAAGTTTCTTCTGTCTTCGGGATTCCTTCTTTCTTTAGTACGATGAACAGTTACATATGATGGTACTTCAGGAAATATATTAGGAACTGCATTGCCTTTTAATTTGGGAAATATTAACTTTTCAATGTGTACATTTCCATCTTTATCTTCTCATTGTTCAGTCCGCTGAATACCATCTTCATGAAAAAGTTTGGCACATACTATGGAAGATTTGGTAATTGTACAGCCTTCTCTATGAATAGAGATTGGTTTTGCAACCAGGTACACAACAATGTCAGAGCATCTGTAACAAAAAACAAAGGTATTATTATTGTTGTTTTTAGTTTACATATTTTGTAACAAGAAGCAAAAGTATTATTTTCAGTTTGTTTTGTAGGTTATATTTATACTTGCCTGTCGTTAAGAATCTTCTAGAAG